TAGCTGGGACTACAGGCACACCATCACCCCAGGCTCATTTTTGTATTTTTAGTAGAGATGGGGTTTCACAATGTTGGCCAGTCTGGTCTCGAACTCCTGACCTCAAGCAGTCTGCCCACCTCGGCCACTCAAAGTGCTGGGATTTCATGTATGAGCCACCATACCCAGCCTATAATTATTATTTCATATAATGTTATGTATTTAAAGGGACAAATATATGTATAGAAGCTCTGTTGTCCAGGCTGGAGTGCAGTGGCACAATCTTGGCTCGTTGCAACCTCTGTCTCTTGGGTCCAAGCAATTCTCATGCCTCAGCATCCTGTGTAGCTGAAATCACAGATATGTACCACCATGCCCAGCTAAATTTTGAATTTTTAGTAGAGACAGAGTTTCGCCACTTTGACCACGTTGGTCTCGAACTTCTGACCTCAAGTGATCCACCTGCCTTGGCCTCCCAAAGTGCTTGGATTACAGGTATGAGCCACTGCAACTGACCGTATATATATTTGTCCTTTCTTATATTAACCTTCTTATTCACCATTTTTTCTTCTCTTTGTTTGTAGATTTAAGTTACCATCTGGTGTCATTTCTTTGCTTCAGTCCTGCTTTGCTCCTACTCATCTCTCTGTGCTTTTATTGTAAAAAATATTACATTTTAATATGTTATAGGTGCAAAAATATAATTACATACATATGGACTAAAAGTTTTTACTAATTTATTTTTTAAAAGTTGGAATTTTGGTTGGGTGTGTTGGCTCACGCCTGCAATACCAGCACTTTGGGAGGCTGAGGTGGGTGGATCATGAAGTCAGGAGATCAAGACCATCCTGGCCAACGTGGTGAAATACTGTCTCAACTAAAAATACAAAAATTAGCTGGGTGTGGTGGCATGCAGCTGTAGTCCAGGCTACTTGGAAGGCTGAGGCAGGAGAATCACTTAAACCCAGGAGGCAGAGGTTGTAGTGAGCTGAGATTGTGCCACAGCACTCCTTCAGCCTGGTGACAGAGTGAGACTCTGTCTCAAAAAAAAAAAAAGGTGGGGGGGATCTTGCTATGTTGCACAGGCTGGCCTCAAACTCCTCAAACAATTCTCTCACCTTGGCCTCCCAAAGTGCTAGGATATAGACATGAGACACCATTCAGGTCCACATATGGTTTTATACAATGGTTTTTTTTTTTTTTTTGGAGACTGAGTCTTTCTCTATTGCCCAGGCTAAACTGCAGTGGCATGATCTTGGTTCATTGCAAACTCTGACTCCTGGGTTCAAGTAATTCTTGTGCCTCAGCCTCCCAAGTAGCTGGGATTACAGGCACCCTCCATCATGCCTGGCTAATTATACAATGATTTTTAAACTCAGTTAAAATAAGAAAGGAGAAGAAATGTGCATTTATTCTTTTATAATTACTTATCTTTACCTTGCTGTGTGTTATTTACATGGATTTGAATTATTGTGTGCAATTTGCTTTCAGCCTGAAGAACTTCCTTTGGTGGTTTTAGCAAGGTGAGTCTGCTAGAAACAAATTCTCTCAGTTCTTGTTTATCTGGGCATGTCTTAATTCTACTCTTTTTTTTTAAATGTCACTTTGTTGCATATAAGATTCTTGGATGACAGTTTTTTTTTTTTCTTTTAGTACTTTGAATATGTCTCAGCTTGTTTCTTCCAGCATGGAACCTATCATCTACAAGCTAAGTGATATGGTTTGTGTCCCCAACCAAATCTCATCTCAAATTGTAATTCCCACCTGTCAAGGGAAGGGCCTCGTGGGAGGTGATTGGATCATGGAGGTGGTTTCCCCCATGCTGTTCTTGTAATAGTGAGTGAGTCCTCACTTGAGCTGTTTTAAAGTGTGGCACTTCCTTGCTCTCTCACTCTCTCTCTCTTCTGCTTCACCACGGTAAGATGTGCCTTGCTTCCCCTTCACCTTCCAGCAATATTGTAAGTTTCCTGAGGCTTCCCCAGCCATGCTGAACTGTGAGTCAATTAAACCTCTTTGTTTATAAATTAACTCAATCTCAGGTAGTATCTTTATAGCAGTGTGAAAACAGACTAATACATTAAACTAGGATGAGGACAATCAGGGCACCATTACTCTCGGTCTGCCTCAGTCACCTGAGATAGAGCCTCAGTTTCACAGGTAGGAGATGGGTGAGAAAAGAGAGGACCCTGTCTCTTGGACTCGCTTTCCTGGAATTTAGCCACAGCAACACAGAGTTATGGGGGAATGAAAAATGTCGATGACCTGTCCTTCCCAGGGAAATATACCATTGTCCCCTGTAAGCTAGGGAGAGAAGAAAACTCATCTTGGCCATATCTGTCCAGAGTAGATCTTCCATCACACTGCATTGGGAAGGGGAGGGGAAAGATAGGCAGTGGCTTAAGTTCTATACATTCTCATTGTTCCTACCTTTTGAAACACTTATAAAAATGTGTGGCCAGGGTTGGTGCAATGGCTTATGCCTGTAATCCTAGCATCCTAGCACTTTGGGAGGAAAAGGCTGGCAGATCACCTGAGGTCATTAGTTCAAGACCAGCCTGGGCAACATGGTGAAACCCTGTCTCTACGAAAATACAAAAATCACCTGGGCATGATGGCTGGTGCCTGTAATCCCAGCTACTTGGGAGGCTGAGATGGGAGAATCACTTGAACTCGGGAGATGGTGGGTGCAGTGAGCGGAGATCTTGCCACTGCACTCCAGCCTTGGTGGCTCAGTGAAACTCCATCTCAAGAAAAAAAAAGTGTGGCCAGGCAAGGTGGCTCGTGCCTGTAATCTTGGCACTTTAGGAAGCCAAGGCGGATGGATCACTTGAGATCAGGTGTTCAAGACCAGCCTGGCCAACATGGTCAAACACTGTTTCTATTAAAAATTAGCCAGGCATGTTGGCATATGCCTATATTTCCAGCTACTTTGGAGGCTGAGGTGGGGGACTCACTTGAACCCAGGAGGCAGAGGTTGCAGTGAGCTGAGATCATACCACTGCACTTCAGTCTAGATAACACAGCAAGACTGCATCAAAGAAAAATAGTGTGTTAATATTTGATATGGACCGTGATATCTATGTATTTTCCACCACTAATGTGTCTAGGGACCATTCCTGCCACATAACCAGTGTCTAGCCCAGTTACTGGCATAAGGTCAACACATAGTATATATTTATTGGATATGTAAATAAATGTGCGCTGGGGGGCCAGGTGCAGTGGCTCACGCCTGTAATCCCAGCACTTTTAGGAGGCTGAGGCGGGTGGATCATGAGGTCGAGAGATTGAGATCATTCTGGCCAATATGGTGAAACACCATCTCTACTAAAACACAAAAATTAGCTGGGAATGGTGGCACATGCCTGTAGTCTCAGCTGCTCAGGAGACTGAGGCAGGAGAATTGCTTGAACCTGGGAGGCAGAGTGCAGTGAGCCAAGATCTCGCCACTGCACTCCAGCCTGGCAACAGGGCAAGACTGTCTCAAAAAATAATAATAAAATAAAAAAAGAAAGGGGTGCTGGGAAACCCAGCATAGTAGTAAGGGCCACATCACAAAGGCTTTTGTGTTTATTACAGCAGAACTAAGATAAGATTTGCACTAAGATAAAATGACAACTATTGTACCAGTGGTACATGTGTTAGAGTAAGTCAAGTTAGAGGCAAAGAACGGTTAAGGAGAATATGAAAATATTTTCATGAAATGATGAGAATCTTCACTGAGGAAGTCATTGTTGTGGAAATGTGGAAAAGGCATGAATTTATATGATCTATGAAGTGTTCTATCAACTGAACTTAGTCACTGGATATGAGCATACAGGGGAGAAATAGGTTTGAGGAAAAAATATAAGGCCATACAACTTTAAGAATAAGGAAAGGGTGATTTGCAAGAAAGACAGAGTGGGCTGGGCACGGTGGCTCACACCTGTAATCCAAGCACTTTGGGAGGCCGAGGTGGGTGGATCACCTTAGGTCAGGAGTTCGAGACCAGCCTGACAAACATGGTGAAACCCCATCTCTACTAAAAATAAAAAAAATTAGTCAGGCATGGTGGAGTGCACCTGTAACCCCAGCTACTCGGGAGGCTGAGGCAGGAGAACCTCTTGAACCCAGAAGGCAGAGGTTGCAGTGAGCCGAGATCACTCCATTGCACTCTAGCTTGGTCAATAAGATCGAAACTCCATCTCAACAAAAAGAGGAAAGATGGAGTGGTCCACCTTGGTTGAGTTATGGTGTGTTCCAGACAGAGGATGAGACTCAGCCAGAAGGGAACACACTGGGCTTGCAGGGAGGCTGATGCCCATCGGTGATGTAGCAGTGGGGGTGAGGACTGAATGAAATGTGAGGAAGTGTAGAAGTATACCTAGATTTGTCAACAGATTATTAAATTGGAGAGGGAAGGAAAGGAGAGAGACCAGGCTTATTTGCTTTTGCATGTAAGATATGAGAGTCATGAAAAGTAGTTTTCAACTTGTTATAGAACTCTCCTAAGACGTGAGAGGCTTGAAAAAAATGTTTTAAGTGAGACACAGTACCAATGGAAAGTAAGAGACTGAAGACAAGTATGAAAGAGTTGCAGAATCCAAACAGAAAAATAACTTGTTGAGACCTCCAGAGATTTCCTGCAGTTAACTCTAGCATGACTTCTGCTAAAGCCAGCCATTAACTGGAATAATATCTGAGTCTACTTCCACATAGCCTAATGAGGTTCTTTTTTTTTGATTTGAGATATATAAATATGCAAACTCTCAAAATGTACATTTATGAGGCTTAAATATCTTGGGTAGTAACTTGGCATTTTGGAAAGCTCAATGGTCCTGGACTTAGATGGTTTGGATTAGACTTCCAGCTTTGATACTAGTAACATTGTGTGAATCCTTTCTCTGGGTTTTAATTTCTATATCTGTAACATGAGAAATTAGGATTAAATAAAACTGAAGAGCACTTCCACTTCCATCTCTAATTTTCCCATGATTCTAGATTTACTGCAGAAAATGTGGGCAGAGCAAGGACACAGAACTCACCAATTGCAAAGGCCATCCACATGGAGATAGCTAGAATAAGGATGGCATCTGAGAAGGTCCTCTTCATGGTGACAGAAGAGCTGTGGAAATATGCAACTTTTGATGTAGGACAAACATCTATGTGAAGTACAAGTTCTCACAGAGATCCCTTATTGACCAGGAAATAAAGTCTAAATACTGTGTCCTTTCCTCAGGTCATTTGGAATGAATTGTGTCTGATGCAACTCAATTGCTTCATTCATTTCCCTAAAATCATTGGACATCTGAAAAAGAAATCTTAAAAACAGAATTTTAGAAGATGCCAGAAAAAGAGTTAGTAAAGAATATTTGCAAGGGAAAGAATAAACACCAAGAGTTTTTCAACAAAATATTTAAAATGGCTGGGTGTGGTGGCTCATGCCTGTAATCCCAGCATTTTGGGAGGCCAAGGCAGGAGGATCACTTGAGCTCAGGAGTTTGAGACCAGCCTGGGCAGCATAGTCAGACCCTATCTCTGAAGGACAGTCACTCAAAGACATGGGTAAGTCAATAGACAGTAAGAAACAGGAAGGGACAAAACACCAAAGCCTCACTCCTATGCTTGTCATTTTCCCTAGTGTTGTTACTTTGGTGTTAACACTTAGTAACCGGTAAAATTTCTGAAAGGAAAATCATAGTATATTTACCAACAGCTTACTTGCATTATGGAAAGTATAGTACATACCAGTTGATACTTCATTTGCTGGTTTCTATTCTCTTCATTGTACACATTTTCCAGATAAACATTTTTCATTCTATATCTAGGTAATTTCTACCCAAGACCTCCCCTAAGAATAAAACAAGTAATAAATAATACAACCCTTAAAAGTTTGCAAATTAAGAAGTCCACTTTACCTGCTGTGACTCCCACGGTTGCTCCGAGAAACTGGCTGAACAGGATAGTTTTTGTTGATAGATTGTTTATAATGAACTAGCAAGGGAGGCAAAGTGTACTTGTCTTTTCAAGGTCCCAGTGCCTGGCAGTAGAAGAGAGCGAGCTTTGAAATTAGGAAGTGTACATACGATTCAAACCTATTTCCTTCAACTCTAAGTTCTGTAATGACTAAATTTCGTGAGTTCATATTGTAAATTTCTGAGGGTGGTATGTACTGTCCCCTACTACTCCAAAATCCAAATGTTGTTCTTGCCAAAGCTGAACCTACCATTTAGACATATGTATACACAATTTTTAATTTTCTATATTTTAATTTGCATGATAATTATTACATTGAAGGCAGCTCCAGATATTGACACAATACTATAAATTACTACATCTGCATGTGCAGTTATTTTATCAAGTGAAAAGTATTCACTTTATCGAAACATCTGCTTTAGATTATTTCTATATTGACTCATAGAGATTTTACTTATTTTTATTTCTTTAGAGACAGGGTCTTGCTCTGTTGTCCAGGCTGAAGGGCAATGACGTGATCACAACTCACTGCAGCCTTAACTCCTAGCCTCAAGGAACCCTCTTGCTTGGCCTCCCAAAGCATTGGGATTACAGGTGTGAGCCACTGATCTGGTCTGATTCACAGGGTTTTAAAGTAGAAAATTACTTTATACGGAATCCTCCAAGTCAGCCTCATTTAGCAGAGTTGAGAAATCTGGGGATAGACTGCTCATTCTCTTAAATGATAGCTCGTTCTACTATTTGAATAAAAATTTCTCAAAATGCTAACATTTTTTAAAGCAAAATTTCAGAAGTTATTGGATATCATAAATTCCTTAGGTCTAAGTCCTAAATGAATGGCCTTAACTGGGGACATGCCCTATAGTTCTGGGAGATCGAGTATATTTTCTCAACATTGCTCTGATCAACCACAGTGTCTACCACAGTGGTCTTCAAAGTTTTTGCCTTTAATCCCTCTAAAATTTGGTGCTTGCTTATATATTTTTTAAGTGATGTAAAATTTTTCATCAGAAGTTTTAATAGGTTGGGTGCTGTGGCTCATACCTGTACTCTCAGCACTTTGGGAGGCTGAGGCAGCCAGATCACTTGAGGCCAGTAGTTCGAGACCAGCTTGGCCAACATGGTAAGACCCTGCCTCTACTAAAAATGCAAAAAACTAGCTGGGCGTGGTGGCACGTGCCTGTAATCCTAGCTACTCATGAGGCTGAGGCATGAGAATCGCTTGAATCCGGGAGGTGGGCGTTGCAGTGAGCTGAGATCACGCCACTGCACTCTAGCCTGGGTGACAGGGTAAAACTCCACCTAAAGAAAAAAAAATAAAAAGAAAGAAATACGTGAGACTGGGTAATTTTTTTTTAAATCATTTCTTTTGAGACTGGGTAATTTATAAAGAGGAGGTTTAATTGGCTCATGGTTCCATAGGCTGTTCCGACTTCTACTTTTGGGGAGGCCTCAGGAAACTTACAATCATGGCAGAAGGCAAAGCGGGAAGGGGGCATCTCACATGGCTGGAGCAGAAGGAAGAGAGAGAATGGGGAGAAGCTACACACCTTTAAACAACCAATATTGCAAGAACTTGATATCAGGAGAACAATACCAAGGGGTACAGTGTTAAGCCGTGAGAAACTGCCCTGTGATCTAATCACCTCCCACCAGGCCCCACCTCCAACATTGGGGATTACAATGTGACATGAGATTTGGTTAAACTACCATAGACCAAATGGACCTAACAGACATTTATAGAATATTCCATCCAACAGTAGCAAAATACACATTCCTAACCACACATGGACGATTCTCCAGGATAGATCATCGCATTAGGAAGTAAGAAGTGCTCTCTGCTGAGCTAACCTCAACAATAAAACTCTCCCTGACTCAATACATGTTTTATTCCATTATTTGCTTTCCTTATCTTGCTTTATAGATCTCCCTTTCAGTGATCTCCACCAAAAATGTTATTGGGAATGTATTCATTCATTTGTTTAGTGATTATTTCCACCTTTGGATGAAGTGGTAAGCTCTGTAAAGGAGTAAACTCTGTGTTGTTACTCCTGTTCTAGGCATCTTCTCTTGAGGTTTGAAATTAGGACACCGGCCGGGTACAGTGGCTCACACCTGTAATCCCAGCACTTTGGGAGCCCAAGGCAGGCGGATCATGAGATCAGGAGCTTGAGACCAGCCTGGCTAAGATGTTGAAACCCCATCTCTACTAAAAATACAAAAATCAGCCGGGTGTGGCAGTGCGCACCTGTAATCCCAGCTACCCAGGAGCCTGAGGCAGAAGAATCTCTTGAACCCGGGAGACAGAGGTTGCAGTGAGCCGAGATCATGCCATTGCACTCCAGTCTGGGCAATAAGAGTGAAAACAAGAAACAAAAAGTACAGCATAAATATGGTATAAAAGAAAAAAAATTGCACCACTTGTATAGGGCACCTATTATGAATGGAGCTTGCAGGACTGGAAGATTCTCTGGGTGAGTCAGTGAGTGGTGGGTGAATGTGAAGGCTGAGGACATTACTGTATGCTATGGTAAACTGAACACTGAGGCTACACTCATTTAAAATTTTTTTCTTCAATGATAAATTAACCTTAACTTACTTTAAGTTTTTACTTTATAAACTTTTTAAAAACCTTTTTTCTATTTTGTAATAACAGTAAGCTTAAAACACACATTGTATGACTGTACAAAAATATTTTTTTATATCCTTATAGATAAGCTTTTTTAAAATTATTTTTTCTTTTTGTTTGTAAACGTTTGTTAAAAACTAGGACACAAAGCTGGGCACAGTGGCTCACACCTGTAATCCCAGCACTTTGGGAGGCCAAGATGGGCTGATCACCTGAGGTCTGGAGTTCGAGACCAGCCTGGTCAACATGGTGAAACCCCATCTCTACTAAAAATACAAAAATGAGCCAGGCATGGTGGCAGGTGCCTGTAATCCTAGCTACTCAGGAGGCTGAGGCAGGAAAATTGCTTGAACCCAGGAGGCGGAGGTTGCAGTGAGCTGAGATTGCACCACTGTACTCCAGCCTGGGCAGCAGAGTTAAACTCCATCTCGAAAACAAAAACAAAAACAGAAACAAAAGCAAAACAAACAAAAACTAATACACAAGCACATTAGCTTAGGCCTACATGGGGTCAGCATCATTAAGATGTCACTTGGCAAAAAGAGTTTTCAGCTCCATTATAATATTTTGGGACCACTGTTGCATATGTGGTTCATTGTGGACTGAAACGTTATGCCGTGCATGACAGTATTCAAATATCTTGATATGTGTGTGTTATACTGTTTATTTTTCAGATTAAAATGATAAAAGTACTTTTATCAGCAAGAATAGGTAGATAAATTCAGACAGCACTTTGGCTAGAAGACATAGGAAGCTATAGCTAAGGCTGATCAAGAAGAAGTGCCTTGATCAGAACTGCAATTCCAGGAAATGACTCTCTCTTCATTGGAGAGACCAACTGGCATCTCTTCCAACATTTCCTCTTACCTGAAATCTAAGAATACTCATCTAACTGACCTCTGCTGTTAGGACTGTGGCTCAGGAGTGACAGTCTCTCTGTGCTCTCTGTGTATGGTCAGGAGCAGCTAAACTCTGGGATATAACTTTGGGAACTTCTGACCTCATATCCTTCCAGAGCTGTGATTATTATGTCATCTGCAGTAGTAATGACAGTGGCTAAAGGGAAGTCATGCTAATTCTCTAAAAACATTTCATCCAAGGTATTAATTATTGTAAACAACTACTAGTGGTTAATGAAACTTAATATTACTCAAAGAGACTGTCAAAAGTAATTAGAAGAGAAACTTTCCAGCAATTTCCAGAGTGATGGGAAGCAGATATCCTCAGATGCAATAAAGGAGGTTAGAGAATTGAATTCCGCTTTCCAGATAGAATTATAGTTCCTTTGAGGGATAAATTTCCCTGAATGTGTGATTCCGTATACTTCCTCACAAATTTTAGATACCCAGGCATTTATGATAGAAATAGTGAAATAGAATGGCCAGGCATGGTGGCTCACACCTGTAATCCCAGCACTTTGGGAGGCTGAGGCGGGCAGATCACGAGGTCAAGAGATCGAGACCATCCTGGCCAACATGGTGAAACCCCGTCTCTACTAAAAATACAAAAATTAGCTGGGCATGGTGGCACATGCCTGTAGTCCCAGCTACTCAGGAGGCTGAGGCAGGAGAATTGCTTGAACCCAGGTGGCAGAGGTTGCAGTGAGCCGAGATCGTGCCACTGCACTCCAGCCTGGCGCCTGGTGACGAAACAAGACTCTGTCTCAAAAAAAAAAAAGAAAGAAAAGAAATAGTGAAATAGAAACACAAGAAAGAGTGGAACTTCCCGTTAAAGATTCTTACTAACAAAAGAAAATTAGATATATATTCTAAAAAGAGTGGAATTGCAAAGCAGATAGAAATAAATAAGAACCATTTTTTCTCCCACCAATGCCATCTTAACAAAGAGGAAATGTCTATTTTGTCCAAAA